GGGGGGGGGGCAGGGTAGGCCAAACCTCACCCTTCGTGCAGGGGGTGGGCAGCAGCTGGCATCAAACAGCTGTGCCAGGCTGTGGCTGGCAAGGACTACAGCTCCCAACATGCCAAGGGAGCAAGGCCAGCAAAAACAACAAGTCCCAGAATACGTCTGTACCCTCAGACACCTGCTAGGCCTGGAAGGTGGGTGAGGTGGGTGTTGGTATAGGTAGGAGCTCCCAGGCTCATTCTCCCCTTGCCTTCAGTATTAAAGATAACCATTTCTACCCTGATCAAGGAGGATGACAGGAAGGAGAATTCCTATCCATGTGCTTTCCACCCTCATCCTGTGCAGCGAGAACTGCTGCCAGCTGCTCTACATTCTGTCCCCACACACGTCCACACAAAATAGGGGGGCTGTTACCACGGACCACCACCGTGGGGAGGAAGGTCAACCTCTGCTCTCTGCTCTCTCACTAACCCCTTGGCCCCTAGCCTAGAGCCCTCCACCCTCAGTGAAGAGGGAGCAGACCTAAGCAGTCCTTCTAAACTAAGCTCCGCAGACTCACCGACTCCTGGACTCCTTGTTCTGGACGATCCCCTATCCCCTGTTTAGCCTCCCAGGTCCTTTCTCACTCCTCTCGTCCCCATAGCCTGGGGCAGGCCCCACAACCTACTGCAGCTTCCGAGATTTGCTCTTTCCCTTTAGCACACACTCACCCCACTCCCAAATTGGCTCCGCTGCGGTGGCCGCTGCTCCAGGCCCTTCCGTCCCGTCCCGGTCCCTCCCTTCGGATCCCCGGTCCTCCCTGCCTCGGGCCCCCAACCCAGACAAAGGGTGGCTCAGGCTGAGCCCTGCTCTGCTAGGCTCTTCTCTGTTCAGATTCGTGTGCAATACTAGAGGGCCCTGGCGCCCGCAGCCCCCCAGCCGCTGCCGCGCCCCTCCCTGCGACGGTCCCTCCCCGGGGCCGCCCCGGCTCCGAGCCGCCGACTCCGCTGCCCCTCTGACTCACAGGCCATTTCCTACCAGCTGATGGGGCCGCCCGCCCCGCCCAGCGCCCCATCACCCCCGCCGCGGCGGCCACGGCCGCCACGCCCCCTAAGGCCACGCCCTCCCTGGTAAGCGACCGTGCTCATTGGTCCATAGGAGGCCAGCCTCCCTGCGACCTAAAGTGTGAGGCACGCCCCCTCCAAGAGATGCCCGCCTATTGGTCCACAAGGGGGCAGGCCTACCCAAGGTCGCCCCGCCCGTCTCCTTAACCCTTCATCTTCCAGTCCAAAGCAACATTCTGCCCTGCCATTTAACCCTTTTAAAGGCGTAGGCCTCCCATTTCTCACCCCACCTCTACCGCCCTTCCACTCTCCAGTAATAGGAATAGGCTGAGTAAGAGGAAGCCCCAGGGCTTTCATAGACACAGTTCAACAACCTCCAAAGTCAGCCTGCTCTTCCTATATCAGACCCCAGACCCTAAATATCCTCACTCCCATTCATCTCTCCCCACCTTCCAAACCAGAGCTCCAGAGCCAAAGGACTGTTGGCACCCAGGAAGCTTCCTTCATACCAGAGCAGAAGAAAAAGGCCTAAAGTCGGACCCTCTCTTATTCTATAATTGATGCTCTTTTACGTTCGTTAGAGGGGATGCAAGGGCTCCCGAGACATGGATACATTTTAATTTCAGGGATCAGCATTATTCTTTGTGTATCTGAACTCCCATTCTGAGATCAGGCTGCCCCATCCCTTCTGCCACACTCTTTCTACTCACAATCCCCTGTTCAAGGAGGCAGAGCACCCAGGGAAGTAGGATAGGAGGATTTCTGCCTGGAGTGGGGGAAATGAGCCAAACTCTTGTGATGGAGCTCACCGCCATGACTCACAGCTCCCTCGAAACTCCCCACCCTCCCCCTGAGTCACTAGGCCCCAGGCCCAGCCCAGACTCAGCCAAATCAAGTGGCAGCAGAACCAGCATCCCTAACCCTTGCCCTCCTAGTCTTTTTTTTTTTTTTTTCTCAGAGACAGGGTCTCACTTTGTCACCCAGGCTGGAGTACAGTGGTGCAATCATAGCTCACTGTAAACTCGAACTCCTGGGCACAAGCAATCTTCCCGCCCTCAGCCTGTAGCTAGGACTACAGGGGCACCACCATGCCTTGCTAATTTTTTAATTTTTTGTAGATATGGAGTCTCACTCTGTTGCCCAGACTAGTCTCAACTCCTGTCCCCAAGCGACCCTCCCCCCTTGGCCTCCCAAAGTGCTGGGATTACAGGTGTGAGCCACTGGGCCCAGCCAATCCTCCTATTCTTTAAATGACCTGGATGGAAACTTTTGTAAGGATTTGGCATTCAAAGGCATTTTTTTAGAGGTACTGCTCTAGAGGCAACCTAAGAAAATCTATAGTCCTGTTTACCTTGCCCTCTGCACCTGTCAGCAAGTCAGATGGTTTGGAAGTTAGGAGGCTTTTTCTCCCAGTTGTCCACAGAAGCAGGAAACAAACACCAGGCCAAAAAGAGGGAAAGTCTATTCTTCTACAGTTCAGAGGCCACAGAAGGCGCTAGGTCCTTGTTTCTGCCTTGCCTGTTTGCGGGCCCCCTAGGGCTCTGAGGTTGTTACTAGACAGTAAAAAGAGGCTCCCCTCCCCCTGCTTCCTCCTTGTGCTCTAGACTTAGGAGAGACAAAACAAGAAACAGTTCCTGCAGGCTCCCTTCTCCTCCTCTCAGACCAGGAGGAAAACCCTGAAAAAGAACTTAGTTCTTTTGTACTGACTTCCTTGCTGGTTCCCTAAGGGTAAGAAAAAGAACTAAGGACATTTTTAACACCCTGAACAAAATTGCAGAGTACCAATGTAAGAGCCTACTTGCCTAGTAAAAGCTTACTAGGAAGACAGGTAGAGACACAGAACACTGTAGGAAAGGAATAATCCCTTAGCAACCCCACCTTGTTCTCTCTTACTACCACTACCATAGGCCCAGGCCTTGGTCAGAGGTCAGAGGACAACACTTCAGAGTAAAGGATCAAAGATGTTCCAGGCTTTAGTGGCCTTGGGAAAGCAGCATACAAGCAGGTACAATCGAGAGGCCTTACTTAGCTTTATTTTTTTATAGCAGTAATCACTACTTGACAACCACCTACCCACAAACATACAATTTCTTTCTCCCTTTATTAGAATGGAAACTCCATGAGAGCAGCGACTTTGTCTGTTTTGTTCATGCTTATATTCCTAGAGTCAACATTAGTGCCTGGCACATGATAGGTGCTCAGTAGACATTGGCTGAAGAAAACAACAGGCCCTGGGCTGAGTGAACAGCAATCAGGAGACCTGGATCCTAACTCCTGCTCTTTCACTGTGAGACCTGGGGGATCACAATCTCTTTGGCCATAAATTTCCAAATCTGTTAAATGAGGTTTGAATAAATAATGACTGTTGAGGGCCTCTAAAACTCTGGCCTCGTACTGCTATAATTCTAATGGCTGTTCACTCATATCCGTTTCAGAGGATAGGCTCGAGCATTTGAATGCTGCTTGCACCAAAGCTGAAAGGCTATATGCTCAGCCTCAGCCTAGCAAACTGATGCCCTTTCTCTTCATGCCCCATCCACTCACACAAACCGCCCCAGTCCTGAGGAAGCTAGAGTGTGTCTGCCCCAGCCCGCCCTCTCTGAGAGACTGTCTGGGAAGCAGTGTTGCCATAGTAATCAGCTCCTCCTCAAAAGGCTTCAGCCTGCCCTCCTTTACCCCACCCTACCCTAGGGCTTTGTCTGTCCTTAGCACACACACCCCCTCCCCAGCCAGTCTCTCAGCTACTGGGTGGTTGTGTGAGGAGGCTGGCTTGGGGCCCCATGTCAGCAACACTGTCACACTCCTTCAGCCACTGTGTGGAACACAAGACTTTCCCACCCTCTCCCAGCTAGCCTAGGGACAAAAAGGACGCTGGCACTACATCAAGCCCCCTCAGGGAACCAAAGGAGTCCTGAAGAGGACTAGGTCCTAGTCTCAGTTCTGACAGCTTCCAAGCCAGGAGTGGGGGGAGCCACTCCCTTTTCCTCCGCTGGCTGAGGCTGGAATCTCACATCCCTTCCTGGGCTCAGCTTACAATAGTGACCAACCTCTCAAAACATAAATCAAAGACCGTCAATACTCCTTACCACTGCCCCATTCCCATAGAAGCACAGAATTTTTGAGGACCCTAGGATTCTCCACCCAGGGGAGGGACAAAGGTGGGGAAAATCAGTTTTTGGCAAGTGGTAAAACGTGGCTACCAGTCACTTGGGGGTCTGTTGGGAGAGACCTTGGTGGTAGAAGTCGGGGTGGGATCTGAGCTTTGCTGCCGATTACCAGGGTCTCTAGTCATTGAGTACAAAGTTCGGTGCAGGGCACAGCTCCTAGATAGGCAAGGACCAGGCCAGGCCCCAAGGCGAGGAAGGAAGTGGGAAATGAGCACACCCAGAGCGTAAGGGCAGGGCAAAGGGGGGAGGGAGGGAGACAGAGACCAAGGCAGGCTTCTGGGAGGAACAGGAACTAGGGTGAGAGGTTGACAGGAACCAAGTTGGGGAAGGGTCCCCAGGGACATCAGTTAGGGGAAGAAACCCCAGTCTCAGCTGGACAGATCCAAAGTAGACTGAGACAGTCACACAAACCCTGGTGGCAAGCTGGGCCTGGCTCCTCTCTAAGAGTGCCCAGGCCAGAAGATGGAATTACGAGCTGAGCAGCCAGGAGCACTACAGACTGGCTTTTTCCTCCCACTAATTCTACCACCCTCACGCCTAGCACACAGAACACAAATGTCTTCCTGGAGTCACTACCGTGCCCTGAACTGTTACTTTCTCAAAGTACTAGGGTTCTCTCCCCCCTCCCCCCGCCACAGGGGCCTATAACCCTTCTCTCACAGTGCCTACAGCCCCATCCCCTCTTCCTCCACACAGCCCCTCCGACCCTCCCACACTCCAG